GTCAAACAGTGCAAAACAGTGCCAAACAGTGTCGATACAGTGTCAAACAGTGTCGCTACAGTGTGAAATCAACTTTCCTTTCTTAATCTGTGAAGGTCAAATCAGGACGATTATTTCGGGACCGAGATAGTACCTTGTATATATCCACAAAAGAAAGATTTACGAATGCATCATCCAAAGATGAAATTAAACATCTTGTATGACCAAGTCTTACAAATTATGAGTGACTGATGTTTGTCACGACTATTGCTACTTTTAGTATTATTGTTTGGTGACAAGTGTGGTACAGCGGTACGTGGCGGCATCTATGGTGGACACTGAATATGGTTGGTATTGGTAGTGTTAATATTCACGAGGCACATATAATATTATGGGTTCTTCCACGTTACCTTCTAAAATAAATGGTGTACCGGTGCCTTATGATTTTTAGCCAATCAAATTCTAATATGATGCCACGTTAAAATCCATTCATATCAGCATACTAAGTTTCTTATTTGCATTTTAGTTCTCACTAAACAAGCGGGAAACTCAAATGTTTGCTAACTGTCGGAGACTCTATTACTCTCGTCACTCCCGTAAGTTACATAAGAATGCATGCAACCTGCAACCTCTTCTCCTTCCTAAAGCTATGTCAAACGGTCAAATCCCCAGATGGACAAAATCTTAAGGGCTTCAAATTCTGAAACTCATTGACACTAAGCTTCCTTCCCTAGGATGAGTTCGGGTATTAATAAGAAATGGGCATCCTTCAATTTCTAAAGATGTTTACCAACATTTTCGTCAGCCGCCGCCCGCTGCCTTGTTCACAAACTGAACGCCCATATGTTGGATTCTTAGAAAGGAAAGGAAGTTACTTTGCGTGGTTTATTTTGAAAGTTAACAGAAAGTGTCGAAGTCTAGAGCAGTTAACAAATGAATATTTGTTTTATTTTTTTGGACTCTAATGCTATGCAAATAACTCGACCTCGGAGTAAAATTCATTTGTCCAAATTTCGGCTAAAAATTCAATCGATAAGGAAGTCAAATGATTTTCTGAAGTATATTGCGCTGTCTAACTCCGCAATTATCTTCAAAAATTCATTTGTCTGCCTTCCCGATTGAATTTGTAGCTGAAATTTGGTACGAATAAACTAGACTTAATGAAGAAGATACTCAGAAAATTTCATCAAAAAATTCCACCGGAAATCGCCCCAAATGGAGATGGCCGGACAGGGCATCCTATAAAAGGACTTATTTGCATTTTTATGAAACTTTGAGGGCTTATTTGATAGTTCTCCCTTTTTCTTTTACTTTAACGGTCTTTATCGTAACATCAAATTTGACAAAATCGATCGGCTGAAACTTTTGAAATTTATGATTTTTTTTGAAATACTAGAATTGACTAAATATGTTGAATTATGAATATATATTATATTTAAAATACATTTTATTGATAAAATTAAGAAAAAGTTACATAAAATAGTTATAATGATCTTATACAATGACTCAAGGAAATTTAGTAAGAAAAGTAATTTCCACGAGTATTACATAATTCAACGCACGACTCTGAATTATCTTTCAACTTTCGCTTTTAGTATATACCAAAATAATCTTCCGTTTTCTTCTTAGACAAAAAATTGTGGTTTACAATTTTTTATTGAACATTTTTATCTTTACACATTTATTTATATTTTTCACAAATTCTCACCACGCAATTTCATCATTGTAAGACTCTATTATAGTACATCTAGAAATATGTTTTTTGTGTAACGTGATTTGATTTGAGAGATCCAGAAGAAGTTATACTCTGTAATTGAATTTATTCTTATCATTCGGTAAGACTCGAACGTATCTATAAATAAGAGTAAAAGCGTTCTGGAATTCTAAAATTGAACATTCTTTAATGTTTTCATTCTCGAAATAATAATAATTACTGCAAACATTATAGTATGTTGGAAGTTTGACAATAATTACTCATATTTTAAAAGTAAAAACATGACAATGACAATTCTATTTTGAAACTCATAAACTCTTTTAGTCATATTTGAGAATAATTGCCAAATTTACACTGAGATGGGATGTAACACCCCGGCCTCGCAGGACCCGAGGTAGCTACTCTAGACCAATAGTACTTTCCTCACAAACCACCACGAGCCTTTACCGCGCACTTTGTCCTCACTCATGCGCGCCTTGAGAAACTTCTCAGGTGGTCACCCATCCCAAGACTACTCTCGTGCATGCACGCTTAACTTTGGAGTTCTTGGGTGATGAGCTCCCTTAAAAGAAGCTGCACCTCTGTTGGTATGAGTAGTACTATTAATCCATTTAAATTAAATCTCAAGTATTACATGTGAAGGGTCGGATACACCCAACAACCCGACATCAGGTTACGCACATTTATCTGCCTCGGTTGAGCTAGGCTAGCTTTCCATTGAATCCCTCCACAAAACTCCCATTTCCCGCTTTTCTTAATATTGTACGTCCCTTTCAAATCTACATCTATCGTACGCTTATTAATAATAATACCCATAATAATATCTCTATTAAGAGTTAAGACCTTGACCTATCTAATAAGCTAGCTAGCTACCTTCTCTGCATTATCGTTCTATCATGAACTGTACATATACCTAAAGTGGTTTAATTGAACCATCCATGCATCCACATCTATCTTATATTGTTCATGATCTTGAATGTACATTATTTGATTTGATGCGGAGTATATAAATCTTTGTCAGGAATATATTATTATTATTTTTCGGTAGATCACTAATTTTGTTATCATCTGGGTATTATTATTATATTATACATCTAGAATTATAGAATTTACTCGGGGTAATTTATGGGTTTGTTTAACATTTTCTTATTTCGTAAAAGTAAATACGTAGTAGTTCTTTTTATCAAATTATAATGATTTTCCCACTTTTTTCATTTAAATATATAGGATGTTCATTATAAAATTTTATAAGACACTAATTTTTATTTGAAAAAATTGCATTATACATGGAGAAAAATACCCAAATATGAGTTCATCATAGTACATTTACTCAAATGAGCATCATTATTTTCTTTCTCTAATTAAATATGGCTCACCTGCTTAATTACATCCGGAGAAGTGGTTTTGATTTTTGACTGGACTAACAGCCCGTTTGGTAGCACGAAAATCGACTGATCTGGCTGATTCTGCTGAAATTTATGAAGTTCTGGCTGAAGTGGCTGCATTGACTGATTCTGCTGATTTAAGAAAAAATTAACTTTAAAATATATTTTATTAATAAAATAAAGAAAAAATTATATGTAAAAATAGCTAAAATGGCCATCTACAATAACTTCAGCCAATACATCCATAAAAGTAACTTCAACCTTACTTTTTCTGTTTATAACACAATTCAGCGCGTGAAAGCAAAAATTACGTGTTTCGTGAAAAAGTTGACTGATAAGTCTGATAAGCCAAAAAACAGTGTTGCCAAACTGCCTCTAAATAAGTCAGTATTTAAAAAACATGCGCAGTATTTAATCTAATTTTCGAACTTTGTTAAATTCTCATCATACGCCGTATTTGATTAATTATTCCTGTATGGTTTATTATATATAAGAAAATGCTCATTTTATTATGCGCATATATAGTACATTTGGTCATCCCAAATCAATATTGTACGAGTATAATTTAGGTATTGAATCAACGTCCATCGCAATCGAGCCTCAACTAGCTCTTATCTGTCACCGAAATGAAATAATTTCCGTAATTTCACTTTGGAAAATAGCTCCTCTTCTCGTGAGTTTCTATATTTTTTTGAAAAAATCCGGAAATAGAATTAATAAGTTTTAGAATTCTAAAATAGGACTCTTATGTTTTTTTCCTGAAATAGGAGTAATGTACAGTACTTCGGAAAATAACATGTAAAGATCCAGAGTTCCATCATAAAATGTCTAACTTGATAGGAGGAGTAGCTAGATCTTAATATTGTTGTTGGGTTAATGGCCCAACCCGGGGTTAGCCCATCATCCCCTCAAGGTCCACTCAACGAACGTCCCCACAAAGCCCAAACCATTGGAGGCTGCTATCCCCAAGACAGCCCAAGGCACATGCGAGGTTCGTCCCCCCAGCCAGACGTCCTAGCCTAGAAGTAGTGCAAGACGCTCGGGACCTATAACTTGGAGCCAAAAATAGCCAGATGACCTAGCCTAGAAGTAGTGCAAGACGCTCGGGACCTATGACTTGGAGCCAGCAGAACCCATGAGGCAAGTTTATGGGGACGCTCGTCCCCACCCCTAGGCGGGAAACCCAGATTCTAGCGGGAAGCGCATTTAATGCATAATATTTGGTGGTTGGGATCCTAGCCATCCGCAGCCTGCCACATCAGCATGTCTAACCACTCATTGGTGGTACAAATAGTATCATTTATTTCATTGTAAAGGGTTGGTAACTTAGCACTCTAGCATTATAGCAATTGTATCAGCTCAAAACGTAGTATTAGACGAACGGCCTCAAGGCTTTTGTACTAATTGTATTGTGTACGGATCTTATCTACCTTAATAAAATATAGTCCACTCCTCACGGGCCATTATAGCCCATCTCTGCTTGTTAGCCATCTATTTTTACTATCTCTTCCATTCGAAATCTTTGGGTCGCGTGTTGGGCGTATGGATTGAGGGAATAAACCTCAAAAATAGTGTTAAATTCTTTCAGAGATATCCAGCGTGGGACACCCTCCCTCATGACCAGACACTTCATCTGAATCGTGTCGTCATTCATTTTTTCATCGGTTCGTCATTGTCATTTTTTTATAATCGTGTCATCACTTTTTCATAAGGGAGCCCCACCCTAGGACGATTTGGCTCTGATAACAGTTTTGTTTTAAAATTTCAAATTATGTTATTCCATAATTTAGGGTAACATTTAGGGCAACATTTCCATTATTTGTCCATTTCCTGGACTACTACTATCAAATACGAAAGTTATTCAATAATCTTAAAATCAACACCAACGCCACTTTCATTTACAAATAAAACCGTAGGTGGAGCACTAATTCGAGACTCGAGGAGCTCAGATCACTGGCTATGGAAGATCAGAAAATTCATGCAATAAAACCAAAGTGAATAATGGGCAGGGTTTGTACCAAGTCTGAAACCAAGTGGGTCGATTTTTTTTTTTTTTGAAATGAAAAATATTTATCAGAACAGGGAATGTCAACCAAATCCATATCCATATTTAAATTAAAATTAGGATATTCTTGAAAAGTGATTGTTCCACAGTCGATGACTCTTTTACAGTTCGGCTCAGTCCAGTATTCCTCCTCTTTGGAGACGAGTGGCTTCCACACTCCTTCCTTTCTGGGTCTATCGCTTTGCGTGTTGCAATGTAGCTCCATAAGAACCATAAATAGAAACACGTGAAATATTAGCAGATTTTTCATCGATAGGCTAGGTCCAAAGGAAAAGGTGTTCGGGGAGCCCTCCATACGAGGCCGATCCGATGCACTTCATCCAGAACTGTCACATAATCGAATGTATATATAGCTCACAACAGTGATTTTCACAATTTTATTGATACATCGCGGATGGGGATCAAACAACTTTACTTAATTACTAAAAACTTGAAAATGAATCATGAGATAATAAAGGACCAAAGTAGTACTGTAATATGAAGGATAATCAAGGAAGAAAATTTTAGCTTAAGCTTACTACGGAAAAATAGAAGATATTTGAGAGTTAAGTTACACAAATAAAACTTGTTCTTTTTGGTAAAAAAAACTTCATTAACAATTATCAACCCACAGTACATGAGCAATATAATTAGAGGGAGATCAAATACCATCCAAGTACCACTAGACCCTGAAGAGGCTTACCTTGCAAGTGCACGGACAATACGATTCGTTGATCGATGCACAAATTGGACAACAATATCAGCAAAGTCTCTCATCATTTATCTAATATCCTTAAAAATGACATCAATATAATGGAGTCAGTCCCTTTGTGAATGATACTCTTTTCACAACTTGTTGAGCATCTTACTCTACAAAACCACTCTTTGTCATCCTAAGTCAATTGTCCACCTGACCGCCTCATCTATTGCCACAGCTTCTGTAGTACCTGTCATGCTAATGTTTAGTACTGCAACGGTACTATTTTGAAAGTAATGACTCCAAGATTACAGTAAATATTGTTATGTTACTCTTATTTTGAGGATAAAAACATAATAATCTTATTTTGAAATTTCTAAACATTTGTTGGGCCGCGGGTATGCGGTGCCAGCAATCTGCCTGCCTGCCGATGCAATCGAACCGTATGACGCTTCGCTTGTGCTATAAAGGGGGAGGAGCGTGCTACAGTATCATCGATTGCTTTTCGTGTAGCGGTAAGCGCAACAATCCTCAAGTGGTATCAGAGCCAAGGTCACGGGTTCGACCCCCGACAACAGCATGCTGCGCAGTGGAGGCTGCCAGGTGGGGGGGGGGGGGGAGAGATTATTGGGCCGCGAGCATGCAGTGCCAGCAATCTGCCAGCCTGTCGATGCAATCGAACCACGCGGCGCTTCACTTGTGCTATAAAGGGAGAGGAGCGTGCTACAGTATAAGCGATTGTTTTTAATGTAGCGGTAAGCGCAACAATCCACGACATTTGTACTCATATTTGAAATTCCCATTACCAAAGGCAGGTAGATCTAACAATGAATTCCTCTTTCATTGTATATGTTTTTGTTCTTGAATTCCAAATTTGAAATATTCATACAAACATAAATGAAATATGCAAAAATTATGAACATATGAGACATATTAATGTATTTTATTTTCATTGTAATCGAAAATTTGAACTTTTGTAGTTTTTATTTCATAATGAAACAAGTTTTGATTTTATTATGGGGTTAGGAATGCATTCTGTAATGTTTGTTGATAAGTGTTTTTATAATCAGTAATTACTTATTATGAGGTTAGGAATGCATTGTGAAATCATTTTTAAAAATGAAATTGGAGGCGGTTTAATTAAAAAAGCGCCGCAAAAGGGTTTCCATCGAGGTTTTTAGAGGCGCTTTTAAATAGAAAAACGTCACAAGAAAATGTAAATGAAAATATGGTGCATGAAATTATATAAAATTGGAAGTGCCTATTTTCTAAATTAAAGCGACACACGATTTTAGAATTTTTTAAGCGTGCGCCACTTATGTTTGTAACAATAATAATTGGAGACTCTTTTAGTCAAAGAACATTTTCTAGTTCTACTTTGTGGCTCATCCCTTCCCATATGAGCACGGAGCTATATTTGTGTGCCTTCCGTTTTTGTCCTAGTGAAGCGATATGGTTTCTCATAATGATACGGTAGCTAGGGAAAACATACGGAGTACACGATAGTCTCTCCGTTCCGCTAAAATTGTTTCATTTTTTCTTGTTGGGAAATCTCACGAAGATTATCTCATACCAAATTTGATAAAGTTTGTGTACCTCTCAATCATTTTTACTTTAATTTATTATGGAGCATTACGTAATCAATTCAATATAATCACATAAATATATTTTTCTTAATATATGTGCCATTCCTTATGTGCCAATGTTAGTGGGATGAATGTAGTACTAATTTTTAAAATTCCTTCTCAACAAATCAATTGGTGGGATGAATGTAGTACTAATGATTTTGAACTATTATACACAGTAATATGTTTAGGGATCGGAATGCATGTAACACACACTTTATTATCTTTATTAAAGTAGTAAATAAACTCATGTCATTTTATTGAAATTTAGTATATATTGAACCTAACTACCTAAGAGTGTATCGAATCATAGCCGTTTGATAATATCAAAATTAGCTTAAATACTTGATTCTACATAAATTTATGAAGTCTTGACTAAAGTAACTGAATTGAGTGATTTTGATGATTTATAAAAAATTTATAGCTAAAAATAAAATGATCTTTTATAGTAACTTTAGTTAATACAACAAAAAACTTCAATCTTACTTTTTCTTATTATTATACAATTTATCAGAAAAAATCAAAATGGCTAAAAGGTCGAATAGACCTCTGATCGTGTAAGTTCAATTCAGTCTGTAAACTAAAAAATGTCTAATTCACACCTCGAACAAGCAAAAAATGATTCAAATTTGATTTTTTACATATTATCAATTTATCATGAGTAAATATATTCCTATAAAAATAGATTCCGATTTATAAAAAAATCGATATACGAAATAGTTGTTTTTGGAGTACTCATATATATATATGTGCGGATAAGAATTTTTTGAACTTTGGATATGACAAAGGCAGTGGACAATCTTTGATGAGTTGGTGATCTGATAGTGGAATTGGGCAACGACGCATGCACGTGCGGGCGGGCAACGCAGATGTCAATATTGGAGTAAGTATGTTTTGAAGGGAAATTTCCTAGGATAGACTAAAACTGGATAAGTTTTCCAATCTATGACCTAACTGGTTTTTTGACTTTTATATGATCTAAATTTCAAAAAAAAAAGAAAAATAACGTTTTTAATTAAATGTTGAATGACGAAAATGTCCTTATTTTAAATATGTGCATTTTGCATTAATTTTGTCCAATTAAAATTACTGCATTTTATATTGTCGTTACTGCACGACATTACTGCACGACATTACTGAAAACCCGGTAATTATCAATGCACTTCCGCCAAAATTAATTCTCTTCTCGTTCACTTTACTAAATTATCTATAGTTTTTTGTTTTTTTAGATTTAATAATTTTATTATTTTACGTCTAATTAAGTATATTGCGTTTCACGGTGAAATTACTGCTCTTTGTTACTGCACTACCGATAATAATCACTACACAACAAACTTTTTCAATGCATTCAATCACTTCCATGTACAACATATATATTTCCATATTCACTGCCATATTCAACAATATCTACGTTGATTTTCACTGCCCATTTTCACTGCTAATATTCAATGATCATATTTAATGCTTACAAACTCTAAACTTAACAAACTTTCTTCAAACAATCTTATCTTAGCAACTTTTGAAACAAAGACACTCAATTCGTAATTGAAAACATGAAATATTGAATGAGAGCCGAAAATAAGAAAAGTGATTCAGCCAATTTTGTACAGAGTAATATAGAGTATACTCCAGTATGATATAATTATGTCAAATTAGCATTTCTAACCCTATTACACCCTATTACGAAAAGCAGCACCTAGCCTCCTAAGCTAGCTAGTATCTGCTAGAGTGGCCAGTGGAAGGGAAGGAGTCTAAATCGACCCCTCTTTGTTTTAAAATAAACTTTAGCTTTTTTCCCCTTAAAGGTGGGATTCTAAATTGAAGACCGATAGATCTCGTGCTCTCAAGTGGGAAGGGGATGAGGATGGCGTAGTGGAAGCTCTGGGACGATCTGCACGCCTCGTTGGCCCCGCCTTGTTTGCCAGATCTTGACGGCGGCGCGGCTTTGCTCCGAGATCGGATATCTGGGCGGAGGTTGTACGGCGAGCGGCGGCTGGACGGCGGGCAGCAGATCGACTTCGAACGACGCCTTCGTACCCTGGTCGGGCGGACACCTACCCCAGGCCGGAGTTCTGGGTTGGCGATTGTGCTCTGGGTCGGAGTACTTGGAAGGATGTGGCGCTGGACGGTGAGTATTTGGGGGTCAGCGGTCGGACGGCAGGGCTGCTGCGCGGGTGGACGGTGGGAGGCTGCTGCGCGGGTGGACGGTGGGAGGCTGCGGCTAGGGTTAAAGAAAATAGGCAGGAGGTTAGGGTTTTATAGATATAAATTAGAGGGTATATTTGTCCTTAAAAATTAATTATTTTTTATTAATTCCGAATTTTAATTAAATATTATGATTATTAATATTATTTTAAAAAAAAACTAGTTAAGTCATAGATTGGGAAACTGATTAAGTTTTAGTTATACCTAAGGTAATTATCTCAAGTTTTGAATTGAACTAATCTCATTTTTTAAGTTTGATTTGATGTGAAATGGCATAATATAATCTAGTCAATGTCTAGTCTCAATATATGTTATCCCTATTAAATTTAGGACTGGTCTTTTCAAGTTTGATGTAGTCCAATTTGTGTAGTCTAGTACGTAATACATTTTGTTTAGGTTTGATCTGGTATGATTTGAGACTCGATCTATTTACGTTAATACTCCGTAACTTTTAGTTGAACAGACTAAATTGGCTTAATCTGCTAAAACTGGAGAGGTAATGTGATAATGAATAGTTTCACGCACTATATCTCTTTCTCAATGTTGACCCTATTTTCTATAATGATTTCATATACGTCATCCGTCAAAAAGGTTGGCCAAAGTTGACTTTCACATGGATTAATAAAGTAAAAATTGTGTGATTGAAATTTGGCAAACTTTTTTCGTGACAAAGGGAGTATTATTACAACAAATTAAAGCAGGACGTGTACAGGTTTGAACATGTACGAAAGGAATCATTGATACAACAAAGCACAAAGTCGTCCTACTTTTATCTTGTTTATCTTTTCGCGGACACTTCTCTTCAGCTACTCCGTATTTATTTCTTTTTGTAGGTGCATAGTTTAATCGAATTCAGGTTATTTTTATTGCATTTAGCTTCAACTTCGGTATATAAAATGTTTATCATTGTAGGGAGTATTACATAATTTTGTGTCGAACTCTAATAACATTTCACATGAATTTTCAACGTTGAAAGCTACTAAGTTTTTGTGTAGTTTCTTGGTTTACTAGATTTATAAACTTAACTTGGGATTATCCGAGAAATATCACTTTTTAAAAATATTAAAACATGATGTATTTTGTTCATGTTAATACGAATTCAAAACTTTTATAAACGGAATAACTTTATCATCAATAAAGTAGGTTGAAAGTAGGTAGTATAAGGAATTAACGCACTGGCATGGTTGAAATAGAACATTATTTAACAGAGATCGTCATTAGGGCCAATTAATTAAT